AATTGTTTAGTTTGGAAGTCAAAAAAAGCATAAGAATGTAAGAATGCTTACAAATGTTAGATGGCCATTTGGCCCACCCAGCCTGTTGTTTTTTTGCCTCTAATGGATTTCGTCCTGCTGTTTCTTGAAAAAAGTCTATTCTAGCCCAATGCCTGGTAGAGAATTCACATTGGCAAAAACTTCAGATCACTTTACATAAACCTCCACTGGCCAGTTTTGCATTATTAAACTTTTCTTCCACTGGCTTCTGCAGCTATTTTTCTACAGCAGGAAAGTACAAATAGTATTATTATTATGATTATTATTATTATTTTATTATTAGATTTAGCAGACACTTTTATACAACAGTTTCTTTCTGTTGACCTTCAGCCCGACATCCAGCAGGTCCTGAATTGCTGGCAGAATTGCAAATAAGTTATTTGCACGGTTCAAGATTTGTTTTTTAAATGCCAACAGAAATGGGCTTGTGGATTGAGATAAGAGCCCTAAAAATGATAGCAGAATTTTCAGAAAAATCAGCAACAGTGTCTGCGGCTCTTTCCACAGTATTGCAAGCAATCGTGCTCAATGTGCAACATTAGATGGTTATTTTTTAACCTTAAACCTGTGCTGAGTAGTTTAAAGAGTGTAATAGAAGATGGAAAGTGGAATATTCTTTGGTTGAGGTCATAATATTTTGGCTTCTGACCGACTTTAACCCTGGACCTTTTACGAAACGGCCCATTCCAAAGAGCGTAAGCCTTCGAAGAGAAACATTAGCTGCGAGCCGTCCTTGAAACATTCATTGCCCCACTTTTACAGTCCACCAGCAATTAACTGAAAGCCTCAGATTATGTCATATACAATTAATACTGGCGCATGGTCATGACTGCCAGGCCAGATTTCCTGAGGATTAGAAGATCACTAATATTTTCCATGATACCTCACTCCACTTGTATTTGACATAAGTCAATGTATAGCCATCTGGAGGCACTTATTGTGAGCCACACTGGCTTGGAGAGAGCATGCAAATTGTGAATTATCCGGCTTTTTTCTGCACAAGTCGATGTTCTTCAGCAGTCTTTACTATATGCTCCTTTTTGTCACTCCCTTGAGCTTGGCTATAAAACTGTCCCTTCATACAAAATAAAAGGGTTAGTTTCTAGTACTCGTATTTGCTTTTAACATTATTTCTTACTTGTCTTATAATAGTCATAATAATAATTTTATAGCCCCGCCTCGAATGCATTGCTTGCCAGGATAGTCTCCATCTCCTCTGCAACCCAAAATTGGATCAAGCAGTTAGAAAATGGATGGATTATTTCACGAAAGCTGAAACAGTTGCTCCAAGATCAATGCCACTCTGTGAGAAATGGACACATCTCAGTATTGCACTCCTCAAGTATTTCAAGGGGCACCTTTCGGCGTGTGGCGACACCAATTTCTGTCCCAGTCTGACTCCCCTATAATAAAGAGAGAATGTGCACTGACACGTTTCTAAAATCTTTCTGGAAAATAGCAAAGGTTAGCAAAATGAGGAGCACCTGTATTGAAGAGTGCAATATATTTCAATCCTTGCAGGGATTGAAATTGAAAATGGAAAAGTTTGGAAAAAATGAACAATTAAACATTTTGGTTTTTTTTTTTCAAAACTACCTCTTCAAAGATTAAGTGATTTGAAAATAAGCTTAAGAACAGTTTTTTGGTATCTTGGCTATTTGACTATTACCCATATGCTCTTTCCTTCCCATTAGTTCCCATTTACAAGCCACTACTGAACTATAAAGTTCTTGGCAAAGGCTTCTTCACCTTGTTGTAGTATGTAACATTTCAAAGAAAAAATGCCTGTCGTCTGACCTGCATTATATTTTTAGTTTCTTTGCGAAATGACACATCCTGCATTTGCTGTCTGTTTTAGTGGAGTTGTCTCTGATTAGCCCTGAATGACATCTCCAGCAAACATACCTTCTAAAAAGACGTCTTGAAGCAGGTTGTTAGGAGCCTGTCAATCACAATAAGGAGAGAAATTTTGTGCAGATAACATATGGGATTGTTCTCAGTTGTGTGAAGCCTTGATCCATCTAAGTAACAGTTATTTTCACTTGCTTTTCATATATCTTCAGATATAGTATTTAATAATCCATCTGCAAAGTGGGTAAACACCACAAAAAACACCTTCACTCATTATACTACCAACAAACTGTGGGTGTATCTGATACAGGGCCATTCCCACTGTGAGTGGGTCTGATTCAGAGTCATTTGCACTATGGGCATGTCTGGTACAGAACCATGCCTCATGTGGGCGTGTCTGAAATAGGGTCATTCCCACAGTGGGTGGGTCTGTTACAGTGTCTTCCCCACTGTGGGAGTGTCCAGTACAGGGTCTTCCCCACTGAGGGCGTGTCCAGTACAGGGTCATTCTCATTATGGGCATGTCTGGTACAGGGTCATTCCCAATACAGAGTCATTCCCACCTGTGTCAGTCTTCAGCTGATACACTAGTAATAGCTGTTTAGTCTGAAATAATTGCATCTTGAGGAGAGGCTGCATACTATTCTGTATACAAGTGATCCTTGAATTAGAGCATGTCTGACATACAGGAATAAAAGAAAGAAAATTAAATAAAAGTCTAAACAAACAAGCAGGTTAATTAAATCATCAGTCAGCACTGGAAAATTAGAGATCAGCCGGTATGATAAATAAAAGATACGGTGTTACTTCAGGACCAGAGCAGAGAACTCCTGGTCTTAAAAAACCTTTTCTATTTCAGACCTAGGTGGAGTAGAGGGCTGCTCATTATTTTCTAGTGGTTGTAGAAGCATTGTCGAATGAAAATTACACAGGTGGTGTTCATAATAAAATTAACATTTAATTGTATTGTATTTTTTAACAATTAATTATTTGATAAATTATTAATAAAATTAAAATAAAATAAAGCTTTAATAATAATATTATGCCAACTGTGTAGTTTTATTATTAAAGGTTTATTGTAAAAAGGAGGGCATTGGCTGATACCCAAGGGCAATATCACTGAGAACTGTGTCCACATGATTCAGGGTTCAGGATTCAACGAGGAGCAACCAGCAATAAAAGAACAGAAGAAAAGAACCCAACAGGAGTTGGTTCAGGCGAACGCTGTGCACCAGACTCTCAGCTCACAGCTGTTAATCTTGCGCCAGGTTTATCCTGCGGAATCTGCTGACTGTCTGGTCTCTCTGCAAGCCTCTTCTTTTCTTTCTCTTTGCTATCTTTTTCTGTCTCAGAAACTGGTCTCCATTTGTCTGCTTTCATTAATCTCTCCCTGGAATTTTTAAATCCCACGTTAAAGCTTAGCTATTCTAATACAGGAAGAAAACTGTAATCCTTCTGTATGAAGGCATCTGGTTGAAAGAGAAATATTATCAATAGAACTACAACAGATCTGCTATACTGTATGTAGCCACATTTTTACTGTTCATATACTGTAGATTTTACACTACAGTTTAAAGCTCTTACACAAAGTGCTGTCTTTACATCACAAACGACTTAACAGTATGCACAGTTTTATATACATTATATGTTTCAAGAGAGTATTTATGACTGCAAAGGGACAGATAAAGGTTTATTCCATGCTGAAAGCCAAAGAATAGAGACACAACGTTTTGGCTGTGGAGCCTTCTTCAACCTGAAGACAACTTGACACACCTGAGGAAGGCTCCAAGCCAATTCAGGGTCACAGAAGAGACAGGCAAAGGGTGATGGGCGCAAGGCAGGGTACACCCTGGACGTGACGCCAGTCCATTACAGGGAGCACACAGTCTCGTACACACTCGCACCATGACCAATTTTTCCCAGGAGCCAATTAACCTACCAGTATAACTTTGGACTGTGGGAGGAATCTGGAGCACCCAGAGGAAACCCACATAAACACGATTTCCTCCCACAATCCCAAAACATACTGGTAAGTTCTTATCGTGTAATTTATCTGCCAGCTGTGTAGTTTTGTATTGCAAGATGGAGCAATTTATCAATAAGATTTTGTACAAGATTTTCTGCAGTGCATTATCTTACAGATCTGAGTGTTCCTTTTATTTTGAAGCTGTGCAATAAAAATTTGCTATAAAAAACATTTTGTTTTCCTGGGCAACCTTACTGTACTGTACATAGGAGAATCTGAAAGTTTCCTGAGAAGAAGACCTAAACCTCTATAAAGTGAATGGCATAGTACATACAGCCTTACAGGTAACTGGAGTTGAAGAAACAATTTTGGGGGTTGAATTTTTGGGTTGTTCTTTTCTTTCCCCTCCTGTCCCATGGCCTGGGGGTGGGAAGCAGAGCTACACTGGATTCACAGGTTTTGAGAGTTGAGATTTTAACCATGTGAAAAAATTCTTACCTATTTGGTAGCTTTGAGCTTTTCTGCAGCTGCTGTCAAGGAGCCAGAGACCACAATATGGTTTTGGATTTTTTCTGGTGATTTGTTTTTAATATTTTGAGAAGAATCCTGTTAGGACCTTGTAACAATCAGCCTATTAAAAAATTGCTAGAGGCGATACCTGATACAGAGAAAACTTTTGATTCTGAATTGATAGATACTGCAAAACATTTAGAACAGGTTCCTTTCATCTGCAGAACTGCCCTTCTGCTTGAAACTTGCGGAGGATTACTGGAGAAACTATCCTCTAGTGCTGGTCTTAACGTCACACTTTGGGCTGACTTCCTTAGGCTCATTCATGATTTTGTATCGGCTCATTAAATTTCCTCGAATGTGTTTGTTCTTTGTTATGCTTTGTGACAGGTTGAAAAGATTTAGTACTGTTATCTTGACTGGATGTCTGATAAGGACATGAAATACTTACACTGACTAGACCCTTTTTTATAGCATTACTCTGTCAGATGGTTTTCACACACTCTGGAAATGATACATTGTTTTTCACCAGGAAAAAGTAGAATATATTAATTCATACAACCCCCTTCTGATCCTTCAAAATACACACATACTGTACAGTGAAAAAGAGAATTCGCAAGGATCAGTCAACAGGTTCAGGGTTTACTTATAGAATCTTTAATATAAAGCAATGGTTACATAGGAAGTGAGGGGGTACTATACATCGTGATATAGTACAGAAAGAGGTTCAGCTTGGTTTACACAGCTCTTTCTAGGCCCTGGCAGTCTGAAACAGTACTTTTTTTTAATTTTTTCAAAAACATACTTCAACACCGAAATGGGAAACAAAACCGTTTGGGAGCAATATAGCGAATTGATTAAATTAACTCAAACCTTCAGTACTTGATATAGATTTAAATAATTTGAAGAAAAAAAACGAAATACTTTTATGTTGTTCTTTCCAGCCCTTTTCCATTATACTCAGTGGCAAGATAAACTGGATTGATTAGTGTTGTCTCTTTAAGAGTTACCATATACATTTTGAAGTTCTGGAAAGTGTATACTGTATATTACTCCTGTTCTGGTTGTGCTACACTTGCTTCCAGTGAATTACCAACATTCACAATATTTTAACTGTAAGGCAAAGAAGGAAATTCAAGGCAGTTTCAGATAACATCCATCCTCCTGATGTCCTACCACAGTTCTCAAGGTGATCAAGATATATAACAACAGGAAAGAATGCATTCAGCATTGTTTCCTACAGGTCATATACAGTAGTTACTTGTAACTTGTAAGTATTAAAATATAGGACATCTGTCTTCATTATAATTGGAGTACTTTTTAGCATTTACAAAATTTGAAAATATTTATTTTGTTTAATAGTCTTTCAGTCTTTCATTTGAAATATTTAAGGACTGGGAAGGCTCTATGGTTACGCTGTTCTTTTCTCCTGGAAATATGACGACTCATATCTGCTGTAGTTGGTAGAGGTAAAGATGCTTATTGTGAAAGGTTTTTAAATTTGGAACTTTTATACAGAAAGCAGGGTGAATGTTACATTCAGGCAAAAGTTACAGAGCAAACTTTAAAACTTAGAATATTAGAATAAACAGATTCATGCCTCCTAATTTTGTAAATAGTTTGGGATTTTCCAGTAAAGAGAAAAAGTGAAAGTGCTTTTGATACTGAAAGAGACAGGGTGATATAGGAACAAAATGTGAAAATGAAGATATCTAGTCTGTCACTGTACAGTGACACTAATTTAGCACATATTTACTGTTGACAGCTATTGTCAAGTTCAGACAGCAGAATATGGCATAAGCTGTGACTTACCAGCACAGGTGTAAACAGCCATGCAGTAAAGAGTTCGCAAAAGACTATGATTTTTTGTTGTTTTTTTTAAAAAGCATTTTTGCACAACTTTATTGTGGTATCCCACTTCCCTTTTAAAGGGGGGGTGGGGGGGACAACAACCCTTTCTGGTTTGAATTAAGCTTCATCTTGAGACATTAAAATCTAGCTGTCCCAGCAGGGTGAAATGAGAAAGATGTCATTTGGAAATGATCAAAGTCAAGACTGCCGAACGACACAGGCGGAAATGTGAGTGTATGTGTGCAGCCATGTGATGAAATGCTGGTTAGTCCTGCTGCTTGATATACAATTAAATGCTGCTTTATAATGGCTGCTTTAGGGATAGGAATGCCCAGGGGTTAGGTATGATTAAATACAAAACAAAATCAAAGAACTGTATTTTTTCCCCCTTAATTTTCTCGGGGCGATTTCTGTGTGATTTTAACTTTTATAGTGCTGTGGGAGACTCTGTGATTATCCCAACGCTGTTTGACTCCCTTGTTTTACAAACCTCTAACCCACGCTGACTGCTCAGCACATTGCTGTCAGGGCTGATACAGAAAATGCCTGCTATCCAGAAAGGGGCAAGAGACACAAACATCCCAGCACCAGCACATCGGGTTTGGACTCGGAACGAAGATCTGTTTCTGCAATGACTTCTGGTCACTTGGAGGGATCTTGCCACTCAGCCCAAAGCTATTCCAGCCTACTCCATTGCAGTATTTTAGAGCAACCAGCTCATCTTTGATAATTAGCAGGATCAATAGATCAATTAAGGTGTTGGTGGTGTAAAAGTTCTGTAATGGAGTAGATGGGCTCCCGGTTTTATAGCACAGCTAGGAGTATAGAGGAGGCTCACTAGTTCACGGCAAGCATTTTCTAAAGTGTTGTTTGTTGCACATATCTTATTTTAGTGATTTATTACAAGACAAGTTATTTAACTAATGCAGCCAAAGTAGATTTGCACACACAATACAAAGCACCACTGACAGCAAAGAGAGAAATGTAAGATAGAAATAAACATGCACCAAGAAGAGAGGAAAGGAAAATGGATATTTGTATAAAATGCCTTTTAATCCTTCCCTTTTTTTAACATTCCTAACTGGTTTCTCTTTATGATTCTGCAGATTAGTTTCTTGCTTGTTTTTTTAAACAAACTACCATATCCACAGTATAAAACATCTGCATGATTGGAGAAGTCAAGTTTATTTAACCCCTCAAAGGTTCTGTCTTTTGCAGTATAATGACAAGTACCTCTTTGGCATCTAACGAGGTTTAACACCTTCTGGTTTCAGTCACCCTGCAGAAATGCCGAAATTCTAGGTGCTGGTTTTCTTAAGGTTTCGTTCATATAACATCATGGGGTATGTAAGCTGTGTAAACCAAACTTTCGTCACCACCAACTCCCAGATAGTTGTACCGTACGTGTTTTTAAAAAAACTGACTAAAGAAAGTAATGGAGAATCAAAACAACAATAACAATAACAACAACAAAAGACGTGTTTTAAACAAGCACAGCTTGATACAACAATAAAAATTGCCATGTGATACCATTGGCTTTACAATAATTTATAACATTGAAGACAATCAAGATGACAGACCCCAGCCCTACTGAACCTGGCAGAGTGGATCGATTCTGTGGTTAGCATGTGGTAAAATATATACAGCTATACACCCTTCACAACAGATCACTTGAACTCCTGGCTGTTACCATTTATTGCGATCAATCTTTAAATACGGAGCGAGTTGAAACAAACGCTCTTGGGAGTTTGTGATTGGAACACAAATAAGGGTGACCCCCTGGTTTGATCATGATTAACACTAATCAACAAAGTGATTAGTTATTTAAAGGAAAAAGTAGAGGAATGATAAGGTACAGTATATATAATATATAAAAGGGTTCATTAAATGCTATAACTTGAACACACACAAAGAAGAGAAATACCACATACATACATAAAAAAACACATTCTGATTCTGCACGTGCTCAACCTTCTGAAAAACGTTTGGCTTTTTCTCTGATCTTCATTTTCATCACTATCCCCTCCCTTTTACCAGAACAATTCCATCACGGGAGCAAACAGCCCTTCCTTCTACACTTCCGCGGTTTCTATTAAAGAAATTTTGGCAACTCAAAGGCGTGGGTGGGATCAGCAGCGCATTTCCAGTTCATGCGACGTGTGTCTTATCCCTATGTCTTGCACAGGAAATTGTGTCCCTGCTCTGACTGCGCTTTTATCCATGCCCCCTAGAATGTGTTCTAGATCCAGACCATCATGATAAAAAAAGGCTTAAGAAAAGAATTCTTAAAGCTGGGAGTGTGATAAAGGATGTGTAAAAAGATTTCACAACTCAACAATTTTCAAGTTAGTTCCTTTACAGCTGTGCTGTGTTTTGACAGCTCAAGACTTGAAGGCTTGCATATGCATTTATTTGCTTGACCATGCATCTCAATCCCAGTTCATGTCTACTGCCTCTCCCTTTTCTTTCATTAGTGCATTTTTAAACGGACTGCTATTGTACCCAAACCTTTGCATTGAATAAGACACCTTTCCAGCAAAACATCAGCTCTCGCATCACCATAAGAATCTGCACTTCTACTCTCCCGGGTTAGGAACCAAGAGTCCTGCACTTTTCCTGTTGCATGCCCTCTTGTAACTATACTTCAGCATTCTGTGTTGAAGTTTGTGCCAAAGCGCTTTGCCATGTTAGGCAACTTGAAGTCAAACAAGTGCTGAATGGTTGAAAGGGGAAACAACTCAGTGTTGCTCATGTCTGTTGGATTCTTCACTGTGGCTTTGCGCAATGCTAATTTGCTTCCTGGCTTTCAACACAGAACCATGGAGAAGTAAAAAAAAAAATTGGGTAGGCAACAGGTAGGAAGTTAAAGAGGAATTTTGAACAGGGAAATTCAAATTCCGCACATATCTTAGAATCAGGATTACCTGAAGTGGCACAGATCCGGGTGCCAATCTGAAGAGTGAATTAAAGAACAATTATACAACATAAGAATCTCATTTTGAGGCATTTCCTCAATGAGTTACACATTCAAAAAGTACCATCTAAAACACCACAACCTTAAGCACCTTCTTTAAAGATTCCTCTGTCTCCTTTTTCAGAACTAAATTATAATGCCCTTACAACCTTTTCAGGCACATACTGTACTCTAATTATCCTGTCTAGCAATCCAGTTGCCGTAGAATATTTCATTTTCTGATAAGTATAAGTTACATTTATGATGCACCAAATCTTTAAAGACAGAAGACCATTGATAATAAACCATAATTTAAACCATATTAGATTAAGAGGGGCTCTTATTTTCATCACAGTGAAATCCTTCTCCAGCATGGTTGTTGGTAGCCATTTTCATTTTGCAGAGCAGACCCAGAATCTGGTAGAATTTGGTATTCCACAGCTTGGCTACAGCAAGGCAAAGAGGTATAAGATGACTACAGTTTACTTGTTTCGTAGGGGCCAACACAGCAGCAGTGCTCCCTGCTGGTGAAAGATCGGTTGTGCAAGGACTGTGCCACTGGTAGCTGGTGGTGTGTACATCCTTGTTGTTGTTTTGGAGAAGAGGCTTCTGGGAGACATCAGAGCTGTCATCATTTCACACCTCTTCCGTGCAAAACTGGGGGGCTTTGGCCACTGGTTGATATTTTGTTCCAGGGAGTATTGAAATAAAAATGAAATACATTGATATAAGCTGGAAAACAATCAAAAAAAGGCGGAGGTGCCTCAGCTGTAATGTGATAGTGTCTAAAGAGTAGGTAGCGAGCAGTCTCGCTTATAGTGGTTTGACAGGAAAGGTGAAGAAAGCAGTCTGGGAAAATGGGCTTCCTGTTGCAACTGTGTTGTTTCCACTTGACAGTTCTGGGGAAGCAGAGTTCCTTCACCTCTTGCTGAAAGTGTGGCTCTGGAGCCTAGAGAGAGGGGCGTGGTGGTGGGCGGGCAGGGGGAGGGGCCCGGCACGGGGGAGGGGCTTGAGGGGGAGGGGGCAGGGCACCAGTAGGTGAATGGGGAGTGGAGGGTGTGGAGGTGGGCAGGTCCGGGGAAGATGGTAGATGCAAGGAGGTTGGAGGCAGGGCTCGGGTTGGGGGAGGAGTGTAGGGAGGAGGGGGAGGTGTTTGGGAGGTGAGGGGCAAGGGAGGGAGAGTAGAGGTAGGGGAAGGTGTAGGGGAGGCTGGAGGGCTGTGTGGAGGGGGAGGCAGCATACCCTGGGGCGGAGGAGGGGTGCTGCCTCTTGGAGGGGTGTAAATAGGGGAGGAGTGGTTGTTGTAGATGGGGTAACGGGGAATAGAGCTGGATTTCACTCGGGTGAAGTTGATGCATCGACCCTGCAATGACAAAAGAGGCAGAAATGTGTGTAGACAATGTATCAGCTTTATTTCTTACCATCAAGTTTAAAAAAATCCTTAAATATCTGTAAATGGAACTGCAGGAACTGAACCAGATACCGTTTTGCCAAGTATTTTGTTTTTAATTGTCTATGAGGACCCTGATAAAGAAGTATGACAAAAATATAGCAACAATTATTAATGCACTCTACCAAAAAGTATAGCTGATTAATTGACTGTAAAAAAAATATCTTCTCAAATTGCTGATCCACCCAAAGACACAGATATAATTCCTCCAGGCAAGGACAATTCAAAAGAGCCCCGAGCATTTAGAAATTACATGCTGTGATATGTTTATAATTCCAGCTCCAGATTGAAGCCTGGCGTAGCTGTACAGAAAGTCCACATAGACTGGGCTGAACTGGGGCAGTGAGTTCATGAAAACAGAGGATAAGAGACAAGATGCCAAAAAATCTGTGCTGAGGCCCTGTAGTTTATCTTCACAAACAGTATTTCAGATTCCATGATTACAGCTCTGAAACACATCTCTCTTCCTGATACATAAGTAGCTGCAGATAAGAACTTGAACAATCTGAGGTCTTTTTTTGCAATATGGTTACCAAAACAAAGTATAAACAGAAACAAAGAATTTTCCTGGACAGTACAACGATTCTAGCAAAATGCTGACAGTGTAAACATTTTTTTTTAGTTTAAGGTGTATACTTCAGATTTCTAAACCATTCAGTACATTGTCATTGCTCACACTTCGCCTGCATGTAGATGCAGAGTCAGATAAAATCTATTGTATGTATTGCACATTCTAAGATTTGGGATTAATTTGTTGCAATTCAAGACGTTTGGGCAGATCCTGACCTTTGTTTTTGATACTCAGAAGCAAGGGTCACCCACTCCTTACTGATCTCATTTTACAAGGTGGAAATACTGTAGGAGCACAAAGTTTTGCAGAAGGACTGGGACTTGCTGGAGCCATGACAGTCTCTGCTAAACCCAGTGAGATTGCAGCTGTCTGTTGTTCTCAGCACTAACCCTGCCAGAAAGGGAATGTGTCGGGGTGATATGGGGACACCAGCTTGAAGACAGCCCAGCCTGGCTGTGAGAAGCTGCGTGGTTTTTTTACAATGTGACAGTGATGTCTTTCTGTGTGCTGTAATATGTGGAGCTCTCAAAGCGTGCAGTGGCTGACAGAAGCATACAGTAAGGAAGAACCAGCCTAGACCCCTCTGCAGAGAGAGTCTTGGTCTTCCTCCAGGACTGATGTCTAGCTGATACCTTCCCTGAGAGCAAGAATGCATGAAACAAACTGCTACCTACTCGTTCTATTCAACTGAATCTGCGGATCCTTTTTTGGAGATGGTAGAGGTTGGTGGGGGATTTATACTTAAAGCGCAGCTTTTTTTTAACACTGTCAGCTGGACTTGACTCCTGAAAGTTAGCCAGATGGTTGAAACAATCAGTTTCCTGCCTGTCAGGGAGAACTTATTACACGTTATAGCTTTGCCAGATGTCCTTATAAAATCTTTTGAGCAGCATTTAAGGTACTTAAAGTGGCAGCAGTGCATATTGCCTGTATTTTCTTCTTATTTATACAGTATAGAGATTTTATATAATCAGTGGATAGGGAATTTTCAGGGTGGCATGCATATGTTGGCCCTTGTAAACTTTCTTGAAGTTTTTTTTTGCTGGAATAGATAATTAGTACTGTAATGAAAAAAATAACTAGAGAAAAAGTATAGAGACTCAAACATAGCAAATACTGCAGTAAACACAGCATGGGAATAAAGTAAATGACCTATTTAATATTGTCGGCTAGACTAATGAAAATTAAGTGGACGTAACAAACTGTTTCCTCTCGCTTAGACAAATCGTATCTGTTGGCTTAAGTCTGGGCAAGATGAATCTTACACATCTTTCATTTTAGTTTGATAGTACTGCTTTTATAACAGTGTGAATTTAAGTGAGCTTCTGCCTCTTTTGTCCATTAATTTTGCTTTTTTTCCCTTGGTACCCAGATGCAAGATCATCAGAACATCTCCACAGGAAATATTTTTCTTTAATTTATTATTTGCTTATATGATATGTTTAAACTGTTCCAGACACAGATAAGAGCAGTGATCTGGTTTTAGTATGCCGTTCACTGGAGTAGTGAAGAACATGCTGCACAGTACTTTTCTAAATTCCAGAACAGAATCTGCATACAACCTCCATATGTATGCTTCATTAAAAATGCAAAATAAAAGTGTTTTTTTTAGCAAAAGAGGTTGCATACAGTAACTAAATAAATAAGTATGTAAAGTCAGTGCAATTGTGATAAACACATTGAAACAGTGAGTAAAGAAAATTTTACAAAATAACTACTTCTGCTACATTGTTAACCTTTGTGTATTATCAGTTTATAGCAGAGCCTTGGGGAATTGTTTTGAGGTTTATTTAAGCAACATTAATTACAATCACTCTCCTTTATTGCTCCTTGTAGATCCTGAAGAGAAACAGGAAAAATTTCATTTGGGAAATATAAAGCTGTCTGATGTTTTGGGTACGTTTTATAAGAACTCCAGTGAGTGATGTTCCTTTGCTACCAATGCACAGCAACGTTTCCAGCAGTTCATACTGTAGGAATTGCACTTCAACTGTCATCATCCCAAAAGTCTGTCCGTGAAGCTCAACAATGAAATGTGCAAAACAAATCACTAAAATAATAATAGTAGTCTTGGAAACCAGTACCAGGGTAACAAACTGCAGAGCTGTGAAAGAATGGAAGAAATTTGAACTTATTACATAGCACACATGCATGTGCTGCCAGACAGGCACTTGCAAAGATGATTGCACTCTTTCCACACTGATCAGAATCGGTATCAACAGAGCTTCGGTGTCAGAAGAACGATCAATAGGTCTGTCTTCATGAATTTTGCATACTTGTTGGTGCCTGCTTTGTCTAAAAGGTTGTTGCAGGACAAAAAAGTAGAGATCCTCCTATTGATCTCCATCCAGCTTGGCCCCCACCACTCACAGAATCTCATCCACAGTCTGGGAAAGCACCCCACAAGTGATTTGATGCCTTTGGAGATGATCCTACTCTCTGAGGCTTTTATCTGATAAAGCACAGGGCCCACAGGAGTGGAGTGGGGGAAGTCTTATCTGAGAACTAACTGGTGTAACAGGAATGTACATAGGCAATTACACTTGGTCAAAACACTGCATTTTAATGCATTGTCTGGCGCAATGAAATGGTTTACTGGAATTATTTGCCTTCACCACCTAAAAGATATTACCAAGAAGATAAACATATGGATTTTTGTAAGTGTTTAGTGAGTGGATTCTGTCGAAAAATGACTTACTTCAGAAACATTTGAAACACACTATAACCACACTGTACTGTAGGTTTTTAATGACTTTCTTAAGTTGAGAAAAAGCTGTTTACGCAATTTTGCACTAAGCCTGTTGTAATGTACTGAGACTGAGACCGTTCATGACTTTCTGCCAGTGCAGGAGTGTCGACAGAATACCCTGTGCTGGGATGTGCCGACAATACACTTCCCTGATAGTGAGCCGCTCAAATTTATCTTAATGGTGAGGTGCTCATA